ACATATGGAAAGTACTTGAAACAGTGCCTGGCTCCATGTGATTGCTGTAATTGCTGTCAGTATTAGTGTATGCAATAAGTACGTTTCACAGGACAGTGCTATTATTTCTATTTAAAAAATAAGGTTAAGGAGGCTTAGGGAAGTTATGTAAGCCTCCCTAACTTGCCAAGGAACACAGTTTGTGCAGGGCACAGCGAGATTTTGTAGACAGGGGCAACTCCTAAGAATTTTTTGTTTTTGTTTTTGCTTTTTTTTTTTTTTTTTTTGCCCTTTTTGGCCAGGGCTGTGTTTGAACCCTTCTGGCATATGGGGCCGGTATCCTACTCCTTTGAGCCACAGGCACCACCCTCCTCCTGAGAGTTTTCTATACTACACCAAAGCCAGAACATGTTCCTACAACTGAGTTTTGGCCACTCGAGGAGTTTGCAGGCAGGAGCACAGAAAAAGCTCTATAGCCATTTGATCAGTAACTATTACTGAAAACATTGGCCCTTCAAACCAATAAACCATGTGGAATACAGCCTGGTTGAGGAGGGTGGCAGAAAGGGGCAGAAGGCACTGGGTGGTGTTGGTCAAGCCTTATTTGGGTCATAGCAGAAGCCTGGAGGTAAGGAGAGGTTCCCAGAAGAACAAAGGATTAGTCTCAGGAAACAGGTGTGTGGCGGGGGAGGCACAGAAGGGGAATTGCAATGGAAGCAAGGGCCTGGATATCCAGAACTAAGATAAGGATGGAAAGAACAAGGGCTGGGATATCTGGACACTGCACATCTGGATGATACAACCAGAGGTGGATACCTGGGTCAGTGGACCAAAGAGGTGCGTCCAGAAAGGCAGAGGGTGGGCTACTGCAGACCTGGGATCCTGTGGGGTCTCAACTTCCTTTCCTACTTTTCCTTTCACAGGGAAGCCACAGAAGGACTAAACCAAAGAGGAAAGGGCTGGTGTCTGGGACTGCCAGCCCCAGGGAAGTGACACGGGGAAGGAGCAGTGTATAGGCTCCCCACCTACAGCTCAGTGGTTAGGCAGCCACATACACTGGGGCTGCCTAACCACTGCCCAGACCTGCCAAACAACGACAGCTACAACAAAAAAATAGCCGGGTGCTGTGGTGGTGCCTGTAGTCACAGCTACTTGGGAGGCTGAGGCAAGAGAATCACTTAAGCCCAAAAGTTTGAAGTTGCTGTGAGCTGTGATGCCACAGCACTCTACCTAGGACGACATAGTGAGACTTTTGTCTCAAAAAAAAAGAGAGAGAGAGAGAGAGAGAGTGCAGTGTGTAGCCACCGTGGGCAGAGCCTCCCTTGTTGCTCCTCTCAACCTGAAGAGAGCGAGTGAGGTAGTAAACAAACGAGATAAGTATCCAGTTACATTTGATTTTTAAGTTGCATTTATTTGTACAGTTGGATGTGTGTGAATTAGCTGGAGAAGAATTTCAACTTTCTACTTACTTTCACTAGATGATTTTGTCCTGGGAAACAATGGAAAACTTTTGATTCCAAGTCTGAGGTCCTTTTTCCTCTCACCCCCACAACTCCCCACCTGGCTTTCCCTGGCTCCTCTCAGACCTGGGTGCCAGATCCTGAGAATTTAGAAAGTAGCAGGAGAGAAGAATTGATCCCACCTAGGGAAATGAAAACTTCTCTGCATTGGGGCCCACTGAAGGACGTGCTAACACACAAAAATTCACAGTCCAGTATAGAAGGAATCTTCTGGGTACATACCTCATAATGTTTGCTTTATACAGTTTTTCAACTCAGTTTTTATTTTTAACAGCAAATCCTTGTAAAGTTGAATATTCTCTAATAAAGTTCAACATACATTTATGATCTATACCTTGGACTTAAAGTGAGATTCATCTGGGCTTTTTGTTCTCACGTATAATTAGAAGCCAAGTCTTAAAAACTTTACCATCAAGCCAAATTCAGCTCTTGGCATGCCTGTGGAAATCACCACCGAAGACTTAGCAATTTACCAGGAACAAGGCAACCTGTGTTCCCCAGGGCTCAAACTGCCGTCCTCTGGCAGAGGACAGGAGAAAAGGGCAGGCGAGGACCTCCAGTATCAGCGAGGACTATCAGGACGTCCTGCTAATAAACGACTTTTTCACTGTCCACACTATAATTGGTTTACAGCCTTTTCTGTTTATTTATCCATAAGAGCTGCTGTTAAATGGCTGGGGAAGGCGCTGGGCTAATGGCTTGGGATCGCTGCCGGTAGGAGGCCAGGAGGCCTGGAGGGGCTGCGGGCGTCAGGGTGGATTCAGAGCGGAAACGCATTTCACCTGTAATGGACTTGGTGATTTTATGATACCAGAAGCTGTATCCACAGAGAAATACAATACACGATCTTTCTCAGTGGAAGGTTCTGCGGGATGCGTTTTTTAAATATATATATAGTTATTAGCCAATTCAATTTCCTGATACCCTTTTCTCACACGATGATAATAATAGCAATAACAATAATAATAAAATGGCTGTTTGACGTTTGCACCCTAGGTCCTCCTTTAGGCAGCAGGCAGCGGAATATGCCAATTGCCAAGGTGAGAAGGTGCCCCTATGCGATCTTCAGCACCCCGCCCCCTCCCACAGCCTTTGCTCAGCCAGGGTACTCGGGGTTTAGCCAGCAACCGCAGTGGGTGGTTTTGTTTTCTGCTGAGAGCCTGTTTTCTTTCTGCAGGACCGAGCAAAAATATTAAATGGGAGCAAATGAAGCATCGAAATGGAGACCAATTTACAGAAATGTGCAATTAGATGAGAAGTGCAAAGTAAACACTCCGGGAGTGGCGAGCAGGGGAGGGAGAGTGGGGCGAGGACTGAGTCAGAGTTGGGGGGATGGTTCTCAGGGGAAGGGCAGGGAATGAGAGGGGGAGGGGGAAAGTGGCCGATCTTTGTCCAGAACAAGCGGAGCTCGCGGTCCTCTCATAACCGCGTCACCAAGTCAACCCTGGGCGACTCGGCAGATTATCTCTGAGGGTCAACACACCGCCGTGGCGGGGCAAACCCCCTCCACCCTTGCCCTCCTGATCGATGTGGTCACTCGAGGCCTGGGTGATAGCTGCAAGTCCTCCGCGGCCGCCCGGAACAATGGACTCATTGACTCTGCGCGCAGAGATTAGATGCGCGAGTCTCAAGATCTTTCACTTCCTGGCCCCCTAAGACCACAGGTGGCCCTTTTCCCGAAAGAAATCACCGAAACTCGCTCTGCGGCGTGCTTTCCTCGTCCTGCCCTTCTGTGACAACCAGAGTGTTGCCCGAGTTCCCACACTTGCGGGGACCGCTCGGTGACCAGAGCACATCGCAACGCAAAGGCTGACATGACACCAGCTTCCCACGAGAGAAGGAATCCTCAGAGAAGTCCAAATTCCCGACTCACTTTTCTTTAATGAAGATTATTCCAAGGCATTTTAAACCCAAGTATTTCCAGTAAAAGAAGACAAATTAAAATCTACTTCCAAAGGTCTAGATGCAGGTGTAGTTTAGGAAAATCAGGTGGCAGTGATTTTCCTCTTGGTTTTTTGTGGTTCTCAACTCTTTTCCCCAGGCTTTTCTGCACAAGTGTCCAGATTTTCTAAAACGTCTTATGGGCTCAGCACCTGTGGCTCCAGCGGCTAAAGCGCCAGCCACATACACCTAAGGTGGCGGGATCGAACCCCAGCCCGGGCCCGCCAAACAATGATGGCTGCAACCAAAAAATGGCCAGGCATTGTGGCGGGCGCCTGTAGTCCCAGCTACTTGGGAGGCTGAGGCAGGAGACTCGCTTGAGCCCAGGAGTTGGAGGTTGCTGTGAGCTGTGATGCCATGGCACTCTATCCAGGGGGATAGCTTGAGGCTCTTTCTCAAAAAAAAAAAAAAAAACGTTTTGTGGTGGCTGGAGAAATAGCTTCATTTTGGGAGGATCCAGTGGGAGGCTGGTTGGACCACCCAGCCCTGGCAGGTCAGCAGGTCTGTCAAACATAGACCCAAGACTGGGCACCACCGCCACCCACAGGTAGCTAGTCAGTGCCTGTGGGTGCAGAAAACGTGGCCCTATTTAAGTCAGGACACCAGAGTGCCCAGACCTTATTGAATGGTTTGAAGTCCAGCATAGATATTATCATGAAAAATGCAGTATTTTTTGTTTCTTTTGCTAAATTCCCCCTCTATCCCTCCCTGTTCTCCTGCCTTATTTCAACTGCAAGCAGAAGAGAGTGGAAGTTCTCTGCTGACAGACTCTGGCTGGGATGGCTGGAGTTGGTGGAGTCATCAGGGATCTAAAAACCACATGCCAACCCCCTGTCCTGGCCTCCCAGCCCCAGCCAGAGGCCTCTTCTTTCCTACTTGCCAAATTGGGAAACTGCGTTGTGAGTTGGCCAATTAGGCCCCAATTTCCCAAAATGAAAATGTATAATACCCTTCAATTAAAAAAAATGTAAGCCATTGTGAATGCTTCTTAAGTTACAGTTCACATCCCAAAAGTACCTGGAGCACAATCACAAGTAAAAATCCACAACGAATGGGTCCTCTGTGTTTGTTCACTGACATCGCTGGTGGTTGTGGACAAACTTCCTAAATAAAATAGAACCAACTGTTTTCGACCCATAGGACTGGATCTGTAGACTGTTTTTTTCTCATTCCTCACCATGTCTTATTTATAAACTATGTTAATGAACTAATATGTACATTATCAAGACACAAAGAAAATAGAAACGTTTAAGGCACGCTGAGAATGTTCCCATAAGTGAAGAGAAGCTCCACTATCTCCGTGAACGCTGGCTTTGGAGAGCACTGCCAGCTGCGCATACAGGGGTGTGCAGCAAACTCAGCTGAGAGAGAAAATTGAAACAAATGCAGGTGCTCGCGGATACCTGGCCCTCTCTTCTTACGGCACTCAGCCAGGCCAATAACGGCCCCAGGCTAAGCCACGTGGGGCACGTCGGAGCCTATGGCGCTGCGGCCTGCCGGCTGTCCCCACCAGCCGTGGGTTCCCTCTGAGAACAGTGCAGAGCTGTCAACTAGAGCAGGGGTGGTGCCCAGAGTGGGAGTGCCGCAATCACAGTGGCCAAGTCCCCTGCTCCAGCTCCCGACTCCTGGCTGCTGGTGCCGAAGCCCAGGCTGCAGCATGAACGCCGAGGAGGAGTACTACGCGGCCACTCAGCTTTACAAGGACCAGTGCGCTTTCCAGAGGGGTCCAGCGCTGGAGTTCAGCTCCAGCCCCCCTGCATGCCTGTACATGGGCCGCCAGCCCCCGCTGCCGCCACCGCCCCCGTTCCCTGGAGCTCTGGGCGCGCTGGAGCAGGGCAGCCCCCCAGACATCTCCCCGTACGAGGTTCCCCCACTCGCTGACGACCCCGCGGTGGCACAGCTCCACCATCACCTCCCCGCTCAGCTCGCGCTCCCCCACCCGCACGCCGGACCCTTCCCGGATGGAACAGAGCCGAGTGCCCCAGAGGAGCACAGTCGCGTCCAGCTGCCTTTCCCGTGGATGAAGTCTACCAAAACTCACGCATGGAAAGGCCAGTGGTCAGGTAAGGCTGGCTCACCACCCCTTTCTCCTTTCCGCTGTGGGCCTGGCTGCCCCTACTCTGCCTTAGACCGACTCTGTTCGCCTCCTCCGACCCCTGGATAACCCAGAGTCGGACTAAACTACAGCAGGGAACCAAGAAGCTACTCAGAAGCCCTCCTTCGGTCCAATGTGGGGCATATTGCCTACCCAGCTCTCCTCCTGGAAACTAAACTCCTTCCTTCCCTGTATACTGAACCTATTTTCCCCCAAGAGCCCTGGCACTTTCATTGCCTCCCTGGAAAGTCAAGGCCTAGCCGGGCTCAGGGCTTCTGGCACTCAGGATCTGCTTGGAGGGGAATATCCCACAGCCTGGGTCTCCCTGGTAGCACGTGTTGAGGAAGCCTAGCGTCACCCAGGATGTTTCTGACCCAGGCCTGAGGTCGCTTTCCGGTCTCCTCACTACCTAGGCTTTATTAGGAAAGCCGGGCCGTTTCTGGGGCACCAGGTAGGTGCAGAAAGACCGGGAAGGAAAGGAAAACTGCATCAATTCCTCAGTATCCCGTGTCCCTGGTGGGGGTACGGGAGTGAGAGCAATCAGGAAGGGTCTGGGGCAAGGCTGGGGGTGAGGGGTGCTCACCTCAAGGCTCATCTTCGGCGAGGGGACTCATCTTCTAAGCCCAGAGCAGGGGAAGTGTCTGAGATGGCAATTCAATTTTGACCAACCAAAAGCATTCGAAGGGATCTCTAGAAGTGCTGCCCAGGAACTTAAGTCTGGAAAAGGACATATGCCCTCCCCCACAGCTGGAAGGCGGGAGCCCGGGGCTCCCGTGCTCCAGGCGCCGGCACCAAAAAGAAAGTCTTTCCGGGAGCTGGGGACGCTGAACAGCCCCCAAGTCCGTTCCGCGCGTAGCTGCTGGCGAGTTCCAGCGTGGTGTATGCCGCAGCCCTACACAATGTTATCTCTTCTGTGCGACAGCCACTTCTGGTCCCACCTGCATTGCAAATAGTGCCCTTTTTTCTCCTATCAACGACAGTCCAGAGTAGGGGGACAGAAGCTCGAGCTGGGGCCCACCGCCTCCGCCCTCCACCCGCCGCCAGGATCCTCAGCGCATTGTCTGCTGAGTCTGGCCTGACACTGACCCTGGGAGTAGTCAAGCGGGGCAGTTGGGGGTGGGGGGCGCCAGGCTCGCCCAGGGTCCCCAGGGCTTGCTTCTCCGTAGTTCCCTCGCTAATGTCCTGAAGCAGGACTCGGCCCAAACTCCTGCAGTCGTCCTACCTCCCTCGAAACACGGAGGAGGCTGTCTCCAGATACTGCCTCGGCTCCTTGGCGTACTCATCTCTCCCTTAGAGCCAGGGCCAAAGGCCTCAAAATCGGGAAATGCTGGATTCTTGGGAAGAAAGAGGATGGCACGTTTCTGGCACCTTGGGCCCTCGCAACTCCTGCCATCCAGAAGTGGGGCTTCCTGAGGAAAGAGGGAGAGTCCCTGAGAGAGGGTTGCTAGAGGGTGACTCCTCTGTCTAACCCCAAAAGGTGTTATTCCTTTCTAGAGGAGCTTGGGCTCAAGAGGACCCAAGAAGCCAGGAAGGAAAACCCAAAGGCAAATAAATAGGCAGCCTTGCCTGGGGATGGACCCTGGAGCTGGGAGTCATGGCTGGGAAGGCCTGAGACCTCAGCAAGCGGGACCTGCCAGGTGCTTGTTACATACCCCACAAATCCTCTGGGAAAACTTTCGAAGGAGCCGAACTTCAAGAAGCGGCAGACCCACCTCCTGGCATGTCCCTAGGAAAAGTGAAGTGACCAAAGGGTCCACATTTGCAGTATGAATATGAATACTAAGGACAACAGAGATTCTGAAAATCTTGATCTAAATGAACTGAATCAGCTGCTCTAGCCAGTTCTCCCTTCACTCTAAGCCTCCAGGGAGGGCCCAGGCCCCGGTCCTTGACCTCTTGGCATAACGCCTACAGCAGCCTCTGTCCTAAACTCCACCCGGAGCCACCTTCCTCTGGGCACAGCCTCCCCTAACCCCCAGGTGGAGGCCAGCAGCTGACAGAGGGACCCCCCCCCCGAAAAAAGGTTTGAGTTGAATTTAAGAACCTTGGAGGGCCTTTTTAAATGTTCCATTAAGCCCCCACCCAGCTTCTTGGTCAGTCTAAGGAAGACCCAGTGGCCTGGTTAAGTGTCTGCTGGGAGCAGGGTCTGGCCTTCCCCCCAGGCTTCTGGACCCTCCTCTCTACTTGGAGGGATATCCAGGAGAGTCCCATTGAGAAACTAACCCCTTCCCCAAAGACATACACACTTGCCTTTCAATTTCCTGTGGCTTCTCCAAGAGTCACAGGAGAAATGTCCCTCTCCCTTCCATAGGACAAACGGACTTAAGCCTCTATCCAGAGTTTTGGTGTAACTTCGGGCTCTAGTGTCCACAGTCCCCGTACAATCAGCATTTCTCACAGAAAGGAAAAGATCAGGAGGTCTTAGAGGAACAAACACAGTGGCAAACACCAACAGTGCTGTACCGGGCCTTATTGCTTCCTGGCTGCCTGGGCTTGGACCTCAGAGCCTAGAGACTCTGAAAGCTTGTGCACCACCGCCCCCTCCTCACTGCCCTCTCAGCCAGGTGCTACCCCTCTCCCCCTCTGCGGTCATTTGGGACGTGGACCTGGGAATGTGGAGTTGCCAGTGTCCTAGCCCCGCCACAGGCAGCCTTCCACCAAACACTATTCCTTCTTCTCTCAGGCAGGAGCCCTGCTGAAATGAAACCGACAAACAGAATTCGCTGGCTCTCCAGTTGGGGCTGGTAACAATATAACTCTAGAGAGAGATAATATGTGATCAGATGTAACAAAATGTGTCATAACCTTTATTAGCACAGGGATTTTCAAACACAGGGTTGCATTAGTGATTCATAAAATCAGTTTGCTTCGTTTTCTTTTAACGAAATAGTAACGTGGAAAAAACTAGATAGCATGGAAGGCGGTAGAGGTGGCTTAAGTCTTATAAAATTTGTTAGTTATATCCATCTGTGAACTAGACAATGATCTGAAATGTATTTTTACTGCGGGTCATGGTTAGAAAGGTTTTTAAAGGTAAGTTCTTTGTTAAAGACAGTTTATTGCCTTTGCAGAATAGAATCGATTTCAATATCTATCATACGCACTTAGATCATCATGGAAACACACACCGGTTAAAAGAACTCATTCAACAACTACTCGCTGATAGAGCCCAGCGCCGGCTCACAGAGAGCTGGTTTGCCTTTGGCTCCAAGAAAGGACTTCCTTCTCTATACGAGGGGAAGAGCTGTGTGGGATCACAGTAGGGTGCTGAAGTTGGAGACTGGGGGGCCTGGTGGCTTTGGTTGGAGCAGCTGGGAAAGCAAGGGCTACTTGAGCCCCAGCTGAAGATTGGAATGCTCAAGTTGGGGCTGGCAGGGGTCGGGGGCCACACTCACACACTGTGTTGCCCGCAGGCGGCGCCTACACCGCAGAGCAGGAGGAGAACAAGCGGACGCGAACCGCCTACACGCGAGCGCAGCTGCTGGAGCTGGAGAAAGAATTCCTGTTCAACAAGTACATCTCGCGTCCGCGTCGTGTGGAGCTGGCGGTAATGCTGAACTTGACCGAGAGACACATCAAGATCTGGTTCCAAAACCGCCGCATGAAATGGAAGAAAGAGGAGGACAAGAAGCGCGGCGGAACAGCAGCCGGGGGTGGTGGGGGCGCAGAGCCAGAGCAGGACTGCGCGGTGACCTCGGGTGAAGAGATGCTGGCGCTGCCCCCGCCGCCACCCCCCGGGGGTGCTGTGCCGCCAGCTGCGCCAGTTTCTGCCCGAGAGGGCCGCCTACCACCCGGCCTTAGCACGTCGCCACAGCCCTCCAGCGTGGCGCCTATGCGGCCCCAGGAACCACGGTGAGAGGCTGGGGCTGCTCCCTGATGGGCGGCTTGGCCCACTCGCCAAGGAGCGGGAGCGGGCCTAAGATCCTGGGTGTGGACAACTGGCCCTGGCAGTTGGATGGAGCCAGAAGCGTGGGGCCCAACCTAGACGAGACGGGGAAACCCGCTCTCCCAGGCGTACGTGCCCCGGGAGGGAAACGCTGGCAGACCTTCCGGAAGAAGAGACTTTGGTTTCTGTAATATTAGGGACCTCTTTCGGTGATATTATTTGATTGGTGGCGTCTGCAGTTGTTGTGTACGTCCTCCCTGCCCGCAGCATTTCGCCTTGGGACCTGTTTAGAGTAACCAACTATTCAAAAAAAAAGGAAATTGTACAAATGGAAATATGCCTCAACACAGGGCGAGCCGGCTGGACCGAGCGCCTTAGTTTGCCCATAAACAGAGCCATTCTTAACTCGGGCGATCACTTTATGCTTAGAAATAATTAAAAAGAAACGTTTGAGGTTTCAACTAGTCAGTGAACTTGATGCCAATGGAATTGAACGAGCGTCTCTTCTCTTCCTCCTCTCCTCCTTTTCCTCCTCCTCTTTTTCCTTTTCTTGTTCGTCCTCCTACCCTTCTCCTTCTCCAGTCGCGTACTTCACTACTGTTCACACTTCAACTTGTTCCCCTTTCTTCCGAAGAAGAGAAAATCTTGCCAGGAAGGCAGAGCAGCAGGGCTGGCCTGCAGGAGCGCAGCAAAAATCCCTGTGTGCCCTAGGCGATCCCACCATGCTGCCTGAGAGGGCGGCCTAGAGAAGACCGAACTGGACCTAGGGGTGAGACCATCGCTGCCTGAACAATCACTAAAAGGAAGGTATTTGTAGCCCTCAGTTCAGGATGTGGAATTAGTTCCTGGCCTCCCCGGGAAAGCTGTGCAGCGTGGCCTGGTGCACTTTGGAAACAACTGTGCACCAGCCCAGTGTGATTACCACATCTTTAGAAATTATTAAAACATACAGTGGTTGGACAGTTTGCGAAATGGGTTGTTTTTATTTAAAGTTTTAAAATTGCCTAACTTTTCTTTACAAAAGGTCTGTGCTTTCCAGGTCAGTTCCTCTGTTCAAGATCTGGGCTTTGTGTTCAGGTTATATTTGTGGGAAACGATGAATAAATATGTATAAAATGGGAAGAGTTAAAATTGATTCTCCTTGCCTTGTCAAGCTTTTCCTGCAGTGTGATGATTCCTATTCATTGTAAAAATTAAACCAGCAGAGATGTTTTTTTTTCCCCCCAGTTCTAACCACGGAAAACCAGGCAATTAAGAAACATCACAGTTGTGCCTTGTCTTGGAGTAGTGTATGAAAGAGTGAATTTTCCTCTTTCGTTCTATTTTTAATTTGAGTCTCTTTTCAAGATCTTTCTCAGGCCATACGGCCTGGGGCGTGGGAGTTTGCGGTGCTGCTGGCTGACACCAAATGAGGGCACAGCCCAAAGCTGCTCTGAGCCGAAGGCAAGAAAAACGCGCAGCTGGCTGGGCCCATGAAGTGGTCTCCTCTTTCCTCCCCAAGCTAGGGACTCCAGGGAGGCCTTTATCCGCAGCCCATTCAAAGAAAGTGTTGGTTTGGATTAGTTTCCGCCCCAAGAGACCGATGGCCAAGTGTCTTGTGTTAAAGACAACGATGTTCTGATTTAGAAGGTTTCGTAACTGCGGAGCCACCCTGTGTCTCCCTCTCTTTCAGCTCTCCAACGCTGCCCCAATCAGACGGCGGAGCTCCAACTGCCGCCTCCTGGTCTTGTTCTGGGTTCAGAACCAGAGACTCGCTTTCAGGAGTCGCAGGTTTTATTTTCTTCTCAGGGTATTTGTTGCTGTTGTTGTTTTGTTTTGAGAAATCAGGTTAGAACGTCCCCTCTGGATAAACGAAAGTCCCCTGGATCAGAAAGGGGAACCTTGTCATCAGTGAGAAGGTGGCGCTCTTTCCCCCCATCGTCTCTGCACACGCCTGGGCTCTGGAGTCTGGCAAATCTGGTTCTCCAAATAGTGACCTGTAACACTTATAAAAATTATTCAAGCTTTCTGTACCTCAGTTTTCCTCATCCATGAAGTGGAGGCAAATATTACTCATGGAGTTGCTGTGAGGTCTAAACCAAAGAACACAGGTACAGTGCTCAATTTGGTTTCGGGATATAGTTATCCTTCTGCCAAAATTAGCTATTGTTTTTTGACCCTCGTGGTTTTCGGAAGCAGGGAGAGCTGCTGTGGAGCTTCTCCTATGGCCCCGGCAGCCCCTCTCTTTCGTCAGATCCTCGCACAGTCACTATCTGATTTTTGTTCATGGACCCACCCGGTAATTTAGACTTGCTGGAGCTCCGCGGCCCTCGGCGTGGAGGTGCCAGGACTTCCCCGGCCGGAAAGAACCCGCTCCCCTCTCACCACTCGGAAGCTCCTGTCCCCACTCAGGCCAGAGGGCTCGCCGAGGGGAGAAGAGAGTCTCGGGCCGCCGGAGCCTGGTCTTAGGGCAGCCGAGGGGCACGAGTGCTGACTGGTACCAGGCATGGATGGGGCAAGGCCCCGGGCTAGGCTTGGGATCTCAGGACTTTGGGGAAAATCCCCCTGGACCCCAGACTCAGGCGCCCAACCTGTACCTCCCGCAGAGAAAATCTCTGGAGTCCCTCCGCCTTCGGATTTTTGACTTCCCGGACTTTCTTGCCTACACCGGGCCTTAATTAATTCACTAAACTCACTGTCTCCAGGTCCGTAGGATGTGCTTATAACGAGGGTTTAACAAGGTGATGTCTTTGAAGGACAGGGCCACTCACGCAGTCTCCAGTACACGCGGTGGGGGTGGCGGAGGTGATGAGCTGTAGTTGCCAGAAGAAACCGGCCTCCCAGAGAGGCTCAGGGAGGCCGTGGACAGTGAAACCTGACTGGCCCAGAAAACAGCGCTGAAAGAAGAGCCAGAGCCGCGCCCGGGCACCCCTCGGGATCCACTCATGCAGCGGACGCGGGGGAGGCAGGTAGGGGGTCTGTCCCGACCTTTTAGGTGTCTGGACTGCGACGCAGCCGCGGGGATATACATCAAGCCCCTTAGGGCGACTCACCTGGGGCTTGATGTGTGTAGCTAACCTCTGAGCCGACACCCTTGGCCGACTGGCCAGTGGACGCCAGCTGTGGGCCCGTGCCTGGGGAGCGACTTCTTTCTGCAAACGCAGTGACCTCCAAGTCCCAGAACTCCAGGGTTGACCCTAATACCTGCCTCACCTGGGATCTAACGGCTTCCCTCTGCTTTTCAGTCTTGGCGTGCTCCATCCACTCCTGTAAGGATCAGGCACCAGTGCCTTCGAAAACGCTCGCGGGAAAGTGGCCTTAGGTGCGGGGAAGAGCGGAGCTCCAGCAGATGCTGCGCGCGGTTCCCTGCGCAGGCGTGCGCCGGCTGCTCTGCGCGCTCGGGCACCCCAGCACCCCGCCCGCCCGACTCGGCTCTCCAGAGTGAAAATCTGAGAGCGTGCCCCGCTGCGCTTCCAGCCCCTCCCTTCCACGGAGATCCTCCGAGCTGGAGCCACAGGCCTCCCCATTCCTCTTTTAGCCCTAGGGGAGGTAAGTTCGTGGAACTGCACGAGTTCGGACACTGATCGGGTCCCAAGACTCGAAAGAGCCCTTCCCGCACCCCTACTTGCGAAGCACTCTCCTGGGTGGGTCAAAGATTCCAAGACCCGGATTCGGAAAATCCCGCGCTGGTTCCTCTCCACACGCACCCTCAGGTGGAAGCCTATGAAAATGGGAACCTGAAAAAGCGCACCGCTGTGTGGATGCCGACCGAGCTGTGCGACTACTAGTGAGTTTCCCCAAGTCCGTTGTGTCCCCCGCCCGCCAGGCGCGCTTAGTGTCACCTAGTGCCTAAAATAGCTCATGGAAGACAAACCAAAAGAAAGCTAGTCTGTTTCATACAATAACAATACTGAGAGTTGGTGATGATTTCCCGTCATGTCTATTGTTTTTAACTGCGGAGGCGATGTCTATAATTCACTTGGACCCTTTGCCCCAGGACTGGACGCATTCAGCGACATTTATAGGGCTGGGCATGGGTGGAAGCCGCATAGTGCTTGCCTTGAAAATGCTCACAGTGTCATAAAGTCGATTACTTCTTCCCCCGATGGTCGACACAGCTGTGGACATTAATTTGATTATTGACAAATTTACTAGAGTATATTGAAGTCGCTCGGATTCTCAAAATGCCTCCTTTTGAACAAGGGCTGTTGTGATTTCTCCAAATTAATTTTGGCCCCCTTCGCCCACCTCTGCCACCCTGTCTAACATCCTTTCCTTCGATTCAGTTCAGTTCAATGCATTTAAGTTTGAATGAAATTTAAGTATTGCACTGCATTTTTTGGTAAAAATCTACCTGTTTTTATATGTCTATCCCCCCATGTCCCCTCTCATTCTCCTCACCCCTTCTTTACATCCTCTGTGTGTGGGGGTGGGGGTGGTTTGTGTCTGGGGGTTAGTCTCCTCAACTTCATGTGTCTGGGGATGGCTGTGTGTACTATGTGTTTGTGTGAATGTGTTAGGTTGTGTCTTATCCAAGTGCCATGGTGGCAATGATCAGGTGTATGTGGGAATCAGGTGCACATTCCTGCATACTCTTTTATTCCACCCAGCACAACCATCTCCCAAATGCCTGATGACAGTGTGATTACATAAAGTGTACTCCTGTTACTGTCTCAATTCTTCAGGTTGACATAGTGTGTAGGGGCAGGAAAAGCTGTCTTTTAGGCCAGGTGCTGTGGCTCATACCTGTAATCCCAGCACTTGGGAGGCCAAGATGGGTGGATTGCCTGAGCTGTAGTCCCAGCTACTTGAGAGGCTGAGGCAAAAAGGATAGCTTGAACCCAAGAGTTTGAGGTTGCTGCAAGCTATGATGTGATGCCACACCACTCTACCCAGGGTGACCAAGTGAAACTCTGTCTCAAAACAAAAAAAAAGAAAGAAAGAAAGAAAAAGAAATGCTGTCTTTAGAAGAACACAAGGTCAAAACTTTGGTAAAAGCTGGCACTGCTAAAATATTACCATAATAATTTTAAAATATTTTCTTTCCATGAAAAAAA